GTTTCGTCCGCATTTGTACTGACGGAACAAACATTCGAGTTGTACTTCCACGAATACGCCTCCAACGATTGATCCTTTGACTGGTCCACTGACACTGATTGAGACCATGACGAATGGGAGCTGCTCGCTGGTAGGCCGTAGTGACCTGGTATAAGACTTTGCGACGAGGCCGAGGCAGAAACTGATCTGCTCCCACTAAGCATGAGAAGGCTTGAAGCTGCATACGGAAATGGTGGTCGTGTCGAAGAACCGTTCGAGGAAGGGAACGGTTCCAACGGAAAGTGAGCGGGGACTTGAGAAACTTTGGGCGTTTCCGGTTCGAATTCCGCTGGGGTCACTGACGTCGAATAACTCGGAGGCTCCGGCTGAGCAGGATATCCATGCTGACTCAAATGGCTTAGATTAGCCACGCTCCTCAACAGCTCCTGAGTATCATGCTGCCTTCGTGCCTCCGCTAGTTGGACTTGCTTGAGGATACGTATTTGAATCGAAATCTGTTTAATGCATGTGCGAAGAAGAGAGGAATCAGAAACGAAAAGAGCAACAGTAGAAATCAAAGCAGAACATTTGCAGAGAATCGGTCATTCAAACACTCACACTGAACATCCCCAACGCCTCCTGCAACCCTACATCGCAATGATGAAGTTGTTTTGAAATCTCGTCTCTCTTGAGGTACCGCTTCAGGAACGGTCTTCCGGCTTGCTTGACAAGGAGCGCGTGAACATCGTTGAAAGATCTAGAAAGAAGTTGATGATTTAGCAGTCAGTACGGGTTCGGTCTGATCGGGGTCAAAGAAATAATGAGAAAGGGATTGAGCAGAGCGTTCTAAGAAGGACAAATAGTGGCGACATAAATCAGGAACGAGGACCCACTCAGTCAACTTATCAAACGGTAAGCGCAGTTCATCCTCCACTTCATCCCCAGCCTCGTAAACCTCTTGACGGACAGAGAGAAGAATGTCGGCACAGTGTTCGGTAAGGCGGAGACATTGGAGACGATTGGACTAATTCATGAAGCAATAAACAAAAGGATTATCCACCTGATCAAGGAAAACGCTCACTCACATCCACCTGCTGCAAACAATCCCAAATCTTTAACAATGTCCTTGCAGCGGCTTGAAGACCTGGAACTGGAGCAAGCTCAAAAAGGTCGACAGAAGTGAGAAGAACTTCGTGTGCGATCAATGCAGAAGTGCCTAGGATAGAGGAAGCGGCTTGGGCTACGCGCTGTATAAGAAAATTAGAAGGTGTGAGTATATAAGAATTCGAATCAGGGTAAAGTTGGTACCGACCTTCCTTGTGATATCCCAATTCTGCGTTTGCTCAGCCGGAACAGGCACCGTATCTGCGTCCTTGCCTTCCTTTGTTGGGGTACATGTTGCAACACTATGTCTCCTTGGCCTGTCCTTGGCTGACGACGACATATCGAACATTGTATTCCAGGGCCTCGAATGGGTTGAATGACTCGGGCTCAGCAACTTCTCTTCATCACGACGCCAGAAGGAAGCACGAGAGGGTGTAGCTGCAATAATGCAGTCATTCCACTATATAGTAATAAAGAAAGAACAACTTACGAGCAAGTGCAGGTGGAATACCGTTAGGGAATACCGTTCCGAGAGACTTTGGGGCACTCCCACTACGTTGCCGAACGCGAGAGGGACTCGCACAGTCATCCGCCAAGGCCTCCGGACGTAGTGTTGCCGAAGGACTGAGCAAACTAGGTGTCTGAGTTGGCGGTGAACGAACAGGCGATGACTTGGTTGATAAAGTTGACAAAGTTGAGAAGTCAGATTCTCGTACAGGAGTAATCGAGAGACTCAATCCTCTCCCTCTAGAAGTTTTGTCAGGGGCAGGTTTGAAGGGCGAGCCTAATGTCGGCGCAGATTGTTGTGAACCTGGTACACTTCCAGGTTCTTGTCCAGGAGAAGGAGATGAGGGCGAGTTGCAGGAATACGGAGGAGAACCGCAAAGGGACATGCTGTGTCGGTGACTTTGGCCATCTCTTACACCAGTAGCTCCACCGACACTGGCAGGGTTCAGAGGCGAAGAATGGCGAGGAGTACTTGTCAAGCTCGCCGGCAATGAGCGACGGTGAGGATGGCTATGCAGAGTTGGACGATCCAAATTTACAGCGTCCGTGGATTGCATATTGTGTAGTCTAATCTACGTCGATGAGAACGATAGTAGCGAGTTCGAAAAGTTGTATGTTTAATTTTTTCGTAAAGATCAAGGCGTAAAGGCGTAAAGAGCGACAAGAAAAAGGATTTCGCGCGGCTCGTAAGAGAGAAAGAGAAAATATGTCGTGACGGTCGTAAAAATACCCTGAAGAGGGGCTTCTGTCGCGCTCCCTGGCTGGCGCGAGAAGCCCGCTGCAAAGTCTCGAATCGGAAGAAGCGCGATCGACGTTAAAGCACGTGACTTGTTTGATCGAGAAGTTTGCCTGCCGCTTTGCCTATTTCTGTTCGTTCGACCGCCGCCGCCGCCGATGGCAATTTATGTGTTATTCAACCTCAGCTCGATTAAAACTTGAGTATGAATCAGAAAGGTGTTTAAGTATGAGAGCTGAAGGAAAGGGTAACTGTGGAAGAGAGACTGAAACTATACGTTCTTGTTAGTACTTTAAATACCCATCCTTTAGCGAACCTACTCAAATGTAGATCATCAACCGCTACAGCTACTGCAGAAGAGTCCGACAAACCCACAAGCACACCGAAAATTCGGGCCCCAAACCACCCTTCAGACTTGCTTGAGTATGGTGTGACTGTGTTACTCGGATCCGGATATGCAAGCGGAAGCGCGACGCCTGTATCAACTGATCTAGCGTTTCTGCTAACACCTACAAGTACCAGTAAGTATTGTTCTGGCACTTGTTACAAGCCTCGGTTCCTTCGATATCCAAAAGCGTCCATGATCCGCTCCGACCTACTCCAAATCCTCATTGATCTCCATACTTGTACGCATCATAGCTATACGCTCTATTTCTCTGCATCCAACGAGTATGTCCTATCCTCTCCTCTGCTTCAGTGTTACCGTGCTCCATTGGGCGAAACGCCTACATTTTTACTTTGCAGCGTTTCTCCAATGTCTTGTGTGTTGTTCATCTAACTCCCAACCCCACGCCCAGTTCAGCTGCATAAAGGGCAAACAGCAAATTCACATACCTTAGCACCTTCAACTACCTAACCCTTTCTCTGATCGGTGAAATCATTCTAACCCGTGTTGCTTCCGTTAGGCTCCGCCGAAATATCTTGAACAATTCCGCAAAACTATAAGCTAGCGGAGACGAAAATCCCGGCTGCAGATAGGTGAGCACCAGCGTAGCAATGGTTTCAGACATCACTATGTTCACGAACGCGTGGCAGATTTTTCTGGATATCACTTCTTTTCCGAACCTCAAATGTTCTATCGGAAATTGGAAATCAAAGGTAAGCAGAATTCACTCTATGCCAAAGACGCGGTCCACCCTTTTTTTTCCTTCACAGAGATTCTGACTTGCGGAATTTGCTTGTTAGGCATTGTGCGAAGTGTCATTGAATAAAGTATCTACGAATTTCATCTTTGCCTGCTTTGGGAAACTACGCTCCTCGTAACTTTCCCGGCCAAAGGCTGGAGGTCCAGGGTTGCTCCGCTGATCATAGCTGTGTACCAAGAACACGGTATGTGTGTGTTTCGATTGCACGGCGATTCAAATTGAGATTCGACGGTCTCAGTACAATTTAACACCAAAAACGCCTAGAAGGTAAAGAATTGTCCTTTATGGCTACAAATAAATTTTTATACAGCGCATAATTTGGTCCGTCGATACACAGATACATAAACTCCAACACCGCCAGTCAATCCAGCTATTATCATGATTTTGGACCAGGCATCTTCAACGGTTCATTCCAACCGATCAACGGATACCCTATCAAATCGTTGCTAATCACTCCTTTGAAGCTATCTTCCTCTTCTTTCACGCCTTTGACTTTGATCGCCGTGGCATGGAACAAGGGGTGATCTCTAGACGCCCAAGGGGATGGTTGCAAGTCAAAGTGAATTATGGAACCCTTGGGGACGGACATATAGCGATAAACATTCATGAACGCCACTTTACGTTTGTTCACCTTCTTGCCCAAGTCTTCCGACAACCCGTTGTGGTTCATCAAGAAGCCCTCTACTATGTTTCTGGCTTCTTTGTCCGCTTCTTCGTTCAAGAGTCCTCCTGTGCCTAAACGTTTACCGCAATAAAAATAGACATGTAATATCGTCACGGAGGCTTCTAAATCCTTCATGCTGATTTTTCTGTTCAGGCCTGCTGCTTTAGATGGCCCAGTTGTTGCAGGAGATTCCTTTCTCTGTGGAGGGGGGGGCCTTAATGGCTGGACAAGGTTCTCGTCGTTTGATTTTACCTAGAAGAGAGAAATAGTACCAATGAGTTTCAAGATCAGGAACAGCTTGGCAGGGCTAATAAATAGCTCACAGTCGAAGGTATTGCACAGGCAAGCGACAAAAGTCCAAGGAAAATAGCAACAACGAGACGCATATCTAGCAAGAGGGAAAACTACGGATGAGAATTAGGCGGGATGCTGAAATCGGTATATGCTGAGGGCGGTGAAATAGGATTGAATCTTTGACCAGCAAAGAAGATTGAACGCGAGGCGCAATATCGGAGTTGAAGGATTTCAGTGTCTGATCTAGTCCTTATGTACTCTCATCTGATTAGCCAAATTTTCGCTTGCAACATCCGGTGCACAGGGAGCACAGCCGGTCTTCAATTGAGAATGATACACAGGTTCCAAGAGTGTTTGGAACCTGTCGCGGACCCTGCGGACTTAACCCTGCTTGAAATGCCTCGATGCATAAGGAAGCTGTGGACTTTTGTTAGAGGGGAGGTAGTGGCATTGAGGTAGACCCCTTGTACGGGACACAAGAGCAAAAATACCATTATCAATGTGTTTGAACTGCGATCAAGGAAACAAAATTCTTCATATACTCTCTTGGTAACCTAGAACCGTAGTTGCGTGCCCCATGGCTGAGTTGGTTACAGCGTCCGACTGTTATTCTGTATGTAATATCGGAAGGTCGAGAGTTCGAGCCTCTCTGGGGCAGCTGATTTGTTTTTAATTGCTTTTATTTGTCGTTGCTACGGGCGTCTGATTCCGACGTTGCGCCTTGACCCCCGATGATGATGATGCTGATGACGTAATTTGGAGAAGCCCCCTTGGAGCTTTGAAGATTTATAACTCACCGCCAAAATCCCCATTTAATTACATATTTTCCTCGTCGCCATCATATAGTACCAGAAATAACTGCATACATTCACTCCTATGGCTGCACCGACAATTTCATCGGAAGCTCTTATTTCAACACCAGCGCACGAATGGGCCAGCGAAACTCTTAATTCTGTGCCTAATGAAACTGGTTCTACTACTGTTTCTCCTTCCACAGCGACCACACCAGGCTTTGACTTTCCTGGAGCTTATCCACGTACTCCTTCGACTAAAGTCCCTTTGGGAAACGCCGTTAGTGAAATCGCTGACCGGGCGAAAGACGCTACCACCGTTGCTGCCACCAGCGTCGGCGAAGTTGTAAATGGACTACCAGATGTTCGAACAATTGGCGGAGGCTTGGATGGTGTGAAAGAAGCGTTGTATAATGCAACTGTGTCCGCTTCGCAATATCTGCCCTCAAATGTCATAGAATATTTCCGTAAGTGATTTTGTCATGTCGCGTGCATTGATGTATATATTTCAATCTCTCTTGTAGCTGGAGGTTCTGCAATCGTAGCAGCATCCGCTGCTGAACGAGACGCTCAAGGCATTTCTCTTCCTTCCACTGAACATTCCGTCGATCCAGCTCCTTCTCAAGGCGTCGGTTCACTTCCTGGCCCAGCCAGTGAAGAAGGCGTTGCGAAACTTCCCCTTGAGCGTGATTCTGATCCTCAAGATCTAGTCAAGGTTCAGCAGGAAGACTACGGTACTAGTGAGTCGCTGACGAATGCTAGTATGGTGGCTCAGTATGGCTCATCTGGACCAACGCCGACGATGGAGAAGGCGTCCGTTCAAGACGAGGGTATTCCTAGTCATTTTAAGGAGGATCTTGATCAAAAGGTCCCAGTAAGTCTTTAATATTCATGTTCCGCACTCATTCCAATTTTCTTGCCTGCATTATCGCCATCCTTTTTTGTGTATCTTACTCTACCCAGCATTCTTCATCTCCCACATACTCGTTCAACGAGGCGTCTGTGGTCAAACCTGCCTCAATACATTTGATTCCACGAACGCATCCTCTTGCTGCCTCATGCGGTGCACAGTGGCACGGTGTCCCTCTGGATGAGGAATATCAAAAGAACGTCGTTGACCGAAGTCTAACTGTCAGTAGAGCTCATCGCATGGCTCTAGATCTTCTCGTTTCGCTGCGTCCGCATTTCATTTAGCGCATCGCCTTGAATTTTCCGTTCGGATTTACTTTCTCCTCGCTGCCATTCTATGTTTCAACTCTCAAAGTCCAACGCTGTTATATTTCATGATTATTCACGCATCCCGTTTTTCTACTTTAGGACACCAAAACATCATCCACAGCCTTCGACGCCGATATTCCTGTCTTAGACATCCCTCCAATCACCACAATCCCAGATATTCCGAATATTGCTCCGCCTCAAGCACCGCGTTCGTCTCAGAATGACTCTACGATCGCTAACGTAGGACATGACAAACTTTCTTCTGAATTCGAAATGATTCCATCTACGCCATCTTTGACGTCGAATGCCAATACCGCAACGACCGGCACGGATTTGGCTGAGCCTCATTCTCATTCGCCCGTTACCTCCGTGTCGAACACTAGGCATGCGAACCACACGAAGGACGTTTCCGTCTCTTCTGCACTTTCTGAGGCGTCGACCGGTTCAAGGTATGGTAGTGGTGTCGACGGCGCAGCGCATGATAGAGATGGGTCCGTATCTCATTCAGCGAATTCCACTCCATCTGGCACTCCATCGAAGAAGAAAGCAACATTGATGTCGAAGATTAAAGGAGAAGCGAAAATCATATCAGGAAAGCTTGGTGGGAAAGAGGATAAGGTTGAAGAGGGGAGGAGGTTAATCAGAGGCGATTTGTAAAAAACAGTCCAGCGAAGAGCGCAAAAACGCAAATGAATATTCTGACCGGTTGGATTTGTAGAACATATATCCAAAGCTGTATTATCGATGCCACAAACTTACTGTTAAACCAGATCTAGATATTTTCCAGTAATGATGGCGAAAAGAATAAATTGACCAGATTTGATGCTAGCGTGTTATACATCCAGAACCAGGAAGTTATAATACTTTATCCAATCACCCACCACAGAATCGTATGTAGACCGTATTACACTGGCGATGGAACCATCCCGGTGAGAGACTTTTTGGATATGTATTTTCCCTCTTCGCCAACTGCAACATCGCCTCACATAGCCCCATGGCTGAGAGGATCTACAACCCTTGGAATTTCTTTCCGCGTGTGCGTCGTCATGAAAACTCTTATCTTAATTAGCTGGCTACTAGGGTACTGTGGAATGGTCCTCAATGGGAGTGCGTGTGTGTGTGTGGTTTGTACTGGAATAATGGGAGTTAAGTAGGTGGATTGAGAGCCTGCACAGACTTTGACTGTGAGTTGGAATGCGATGCCATAGCAATTATCGATAATTCGTAACGTACGAATGTCAAAGTATGAACCTGATCATAAATGTCTATAGCAAATTTCGCTCACCAACTTGAAAGATAATTGCACATGACAATAGACCGGTGGCGAGGGACCCCAATTCCTTCCACCGAGGACCTGAGCTATACAACTCCTCAGAAAAAAGAACAAATGACAAACTACCAGTCGACAATACTATATAGTGATGTTCCTTGCAACATTTTATTCGTGAAGCGATATCGTTGCGCAGCGGGAAAGGCGAATTCCTACTATCATGCTAAAAATCTTTTGAGAGAATCCGAGAGGCCCAGTAGGATATATATCATATGTATTGTTTACTGCTGATACTTGGTTTTCTATAAACTCTTAACTCCAGTGTGCGGTCATACAACTCACCTGAAGATGCTCATGGATTATCTTTGGCTCTCGCAGGACATTTGACTAGACAGAAAATATTTGGGAATTCGGTTCATGCTAACTCTGATGCCCAGCGAGCTATATGGAAAAATAGCTCTCCACCTGGGTCTCCACAAGGGGGACAGAGTCCGGACGAGCTCAAACAGTGTAGTGGATGTCAAATGGAAAATAAATTAAAGAGCCTAGTACAGAGACTATCGGTAACTGACCAACGTGCTTTCGATGATTTCGCTAGACTTCGTACTGCAGTCTAGTATGCTAAAAGGATGACTGGAGACGACACAAGCTTGGTATGATTGTTGCCTCAACGAGAATGACTTTCTGTACAATATTGACCCCAATATCTCACTTAGTCTGCGCATTTCAACCAGAAGCCAAAGCTATTCGACGCGCTGAGTCAAAAGGCCAACCCAACCCTGCAAGTGCTCAGATTCCTACTTTTGCAACTCTGACTTCTCGGAAGGAAGGCATATAAAGGAATGTTTTTATTTCTATATACTCCCCATTTGATCCTCATTATTTTACATAGATACAATCCTCACCCGATCAAAATGACCCCAGAACAGGAACGCAAGGAGGCTGAATGCCAGAGAAAGAAGAAAGAGAAGAAGAAGGTGAAGAAGAATAAGGAAAAGAGGAAAAAAGCTAAAACGAGGGAGGAGAAGAAGGACTAAACCGGTCGAGGATGTTGGGGGTAATGACAGAAGTGATTCAGCAGAGGTGGAGAAACAATTAGCCAATGCTTTCATGGAATGAACAACATTGCGTAAGGGTGAAACTCGTACTTTGGAGTTCGTCGCAGATATCAAACTGATCTGTCAAGTTTTGTACAGAGTACATAAAAATACTGCTCGCCAGGACCTTACAATCGATTGCGCATACACCTCACACAAACCATGATCTGACAATTTCTACAGCCCTATGATAATCATACCACTTAGAAAGAGTAATATCGAGAAATTGTAGTCTTACCTTCAGGTACAGAGGTAGGAAATGACCGCATTCCTCACACGTACCTCCTCCTGGACAATGCTTCCATCGATGAGGATTGCAATCATGGTATTGCCTTAATTCCTGCGCCCTCTGCTCAACACGTCTTTGGAAGACTACCGGCTCTGCTACCCGCGCCGCCGCACCAAATTCTCTCTCGACTCTCACTTCTGCTGCATTAAATAGCCTGTTCTCCTCCCACTGTGGACATGTGCAGGTCTTCCATGGAGCGGCACACAAGTAGCAGAATTGCATATGACAACGACAAGTCATATGGTAGCATCCAATGTTAAGTTCGATGATGGAACTGCATTGAGGGCAAGTTTGCCAATGCTTTTCCGTTGCAAGGGCCTTGAGCTCAAGAAGGGCAGTGTTTTCAGCACAACTCTCAGAGGGATGAGAATGCTGTTTGCAGAGGGTGCATGTCCACGTAGCACATTCAGAGCAAAGCATATTATTTCCCTTGGGTTCTACGCTTGCGGAGGAACCGAGAAACTGGGAGCAAGTTAAATTGCAGCAGTAAACTCTATTGTTTGCGAGAGTCTCGAACTCGTGAGATTTGTCGTTAAACTGGAGCCTTAGTTCTTCGGGAGTAGCATGAGTACATCCGTCACTGGAAGAGATTGTTGACAGCATCGAAGAGGGAACAACGATTCATCGCCGATACAAGCCCGGACAAGGTCACAAAGACATGCGAGGCAATAATAATCTCTACATGGTGCTTGGAAGATGGTTGAAGAGCGAAAGCTTTCTGCACAGATGACACAGTCGACTCTGAAGATCGTGATAGTCAATATAGTACCTACGGAAGAGGGAAACACGCCTTACCGGAAGGGTTTACTGCCTCCAATGTTTGGTAAAGGCGACCTGCTTGCAATAGATGTTGGAATTTTGCCCACTTCACTTGGTTGATCTTTCTTTGATATCCTACAGGACTATGAATAACATATTACCCTGGAAAGATAGCATTCACTTACGCTTCGGATTGTGACTCTAGGTCCTCTAATGCTTTTTGGGCATCTGATTTCTTAGGCAACGCCTGTCCGAGCGAAAGAGCCTGTGCATAACGATGATCATCGGCCGCTCCGAGTTCTTCAACAGTCAGTTTCGCTAAAATATCCTGATCGACATCGATAGCATGTTGAAGGCTGAAGGCAAGTCGCAAGCTCTCTACGACAGCCAGGTTTTCCTCTTCAAAAAGTCTGAACGCGATTTCCTCGTCGGTGAGAGGGGTGTCATTGCGTGCTTTTCCCTTCCGGGACAATGAGATGTCGCGTAATTCGTCGAGTGTGAGCTGGCTGCTGATGAAGGAAGCTAGACAATCCGCAGATTCAAGCTCCATGGTGGTAAGAAAGAGAAAAAACCAAGCAAACAAAGGATAAAGGGTCGATCGTGATAAAAGGTGGGAAATGTGTTTTAAAACGTGTTCAAATTTACCGAAACCGTCCTGTCTAACTACGGAGACCCTCACTACTAATAAATTCAGTACACACCAAGCAATGGAGTCTAGAAGAAGAAAATAAGATTATCCTTCCTGATTGACAGGAAAGGGAAGAGAAAGGAGGAAATTATACTTTACAACCCAGAATCCATTTCGTTCCTGTCATTGTCGGCATACACAAATCGTGTTCCACTCCAACCCGCAGCCATAACAAAATTCTGAACGACACCGACACACCATATGATTGCACCCTTCAGTGAGCTCAACAATTGCCTTGCACCCAGGACAAGACTGCCAATCATTCTCCCGGGCGAGGTCACGCAACTGGTCTTCCGCTAAGCGCTCCTCAATGACAGGACAGGTAAGAGCAGTCGCCGAATGAGCAGGGTCCTTACACAGAACGCAGAGGCGTTCAAAGCAAGAAGGGCATTGGTGCGAGGGAGGTGGTTCAGGAGTCGATGATGAGTCAAAAACGTCGTATGAATGTTTGAGAGAGCTCCACGATCCAAGGAATGCAGAACAACGAGGGTAGGGACAATACACCCGGTCTTCTGGGCGAATTCCAAATTCCAGACCTTTCGTTCGCAGACGAGCGCCTAGATCAGAGTCAATCATCTCAAGTTCGAATAATTCAGTCAGGTTTTCCGCAAGGGAGCTTGAGTGACTCTCATTATCGGTCGTGAGGCTCATGGTTCTTCCGCAGCATGTTGGTGGAAACAAGGTTTCGTCCTTGATGCACGTTTCGATGTAGCGCGTTAGACACGAGCCGCAGTAATGATGTTCGCAAGTTTGAACGCGAAAGAGAAGTTCTTCTTCTGAGCTTTCTGCGCAGGCTACACATGCAGGCACTGCATCAGCAAAAGACTGCCTGAGCCATCGATCCCATAGAAAATCAGCTGCCATATAGGCGAATTTGGAAAGAGCAACCTGGCGTACCCCGAGCTTGAGACTTGGAACGAAAATTTGAGGTCAGAACTAGGAGTGTTTGGGGGTGAGATAGATGACGATCTTTCAAATAGTTCAAAAAGATGTCCGTGAACGAAATAAAGTTAGTGCTTACTCTGAAGAGTCATCATCAACTTGCAAGATGTCCGATGACGAAGGACTGGACGAGGAATTTGGAGAAATAATTTCGGGCGAGAAAGATCTGTCTTCGGTAGGTTGTTCGGCTGTCTGAGTGTCATTAAGAAACGTCAATACTTGTGCAAATTCTTCTTCCATAAGATCCCAGGCATAATCCTCGTCCGGGGACGTAGTGCCGCCTCGGAACTCATTAATGTCGCCTAAAGCAAGCTGAGCTATGAGCAAGGCAGATTCTCGGTCGATATTGCTCAACGGTAGCGAAGTAGTAGCTGCCATCGTGGAATGGTCGTTTGAAAGGAAAGGACTGGAAAGCGCGTTGAGAGCACGTTCCGCTAAAGATACCGCGTTAGATATACGATGTTTGGCATATCAAATAGTAAAAAGTGAATGAACCTAAAGAATTAAAGTCAGATGAACGGTTTAGATAAAACCACCAGACCTTACTTCCATCTTCATTTCACGAGCTTGGGTACCTCAAGGTTGCGGACTGATCGTAAGAGTCATGGCTTAGCTTATAATCTTCTGTGATCAATTGACATTGTCATGAGCGATTGCGATATGGTAGATGTTGTACAATCGCATGTGCGAAACGGGTAGAATATGGAGTAACATAAAAGCCAATGAGTGCCCTGTATACTAGGTCAACCAAGTTCTTTAAGTTGAAACGAACAGCTGAATCTCACCAGAGCGCGCCTTGAAACAGAGGAGTCAATATCTGGTCTCGCGCTGTAATCCACAAGACATGCTTCCATTTAACCTCAATAAGGTCCCGTTCTTTCTCCTCTGTAGATCTATTCTGAACAAGTCTCTCTGTCAAGTCTGCAACTTTCGTCTCCGAAGCTTTGTGCGAAGGTTTCGAGGTACGAAGGTGAATATAAGGCTGTATACTCCGTAAGTAACTGGGCTCAAAGCGTAGATCTGGGATTGGTGGGAGATGAGTACGGCGGTATGCCCGACGTTCAGCTCGCTCAGAATGTTGGTGCTTGAACTCATGAAAAAGAAGAGGTGGATCCGAGGCCATGGTTGTTTCGAAGTATTATGGCCTCACGCGTAGCTCAGAAAAAAGTTAAACCGCCGGGCCTGACCGGGAATTGAACCCGGGACCTCTCCCAATTAAACACACAAAGATGCAAGCAAACGCCCGAAGGGAGAATCATACTACTAGACCATCAGGCCATATTTCCGATATAAATAAAAGTTATACTGAATACAGTAACGTCCTATGCTTGACGACGTCGAAATACAGTGCGTTCAATTAACGAGCCCCTCTGTCCGGTAATGGCTCTTCAAGAACCTTGCGTCCATTGCGCGTCGATGTAATTAATACCACAATCGATATGATCAGCATCACCGTCAAAATAATCCACCCTAACCATGCGAAAGCTAAGATTGCAGAAAGAATCTGACACGCTTGCAGCTGCTGGCATGATACGAGATCTCCGAAAATACTCTTCACAAAAGAAGGTCATTGTCAGTGTGAGCGAGAACTACAAAGCGCATCTCAAGTGTTTGTTGACTTACCGACGCAGCAGCAGCCCCTCCAATCCAGAAAAACCAGAGAATCACCAAACCAATGAGTTCTTGCCAGTACAGTCGTAGAAACTCGAACTTGATGGTTTCTATGAAGAATATGCAGAGCCTACATATAGAAGGCGTCGATATAAACATGATTTCGATTCTGAAAGTCACGAAGAACGCACATCAGCGCACACCATAACATAGTGACGATCGAGGTGAAAAGCAATTCGGCAATGACTGGATCTAACGTTTCGAGAAGGTCGGAAATTTGGGTCAACCGTCCATGACAGGCAAAGACGTACCATAGAAATGTAGTTGTAGAGTGTCGTTAATCCTCGAACAACAAAGCACGAAGAGGATGAATGTGAAGACTAGCTAATCCACACCAGAATAGCAGCAAAAACTCGTCAAGTCCAGTCTATTTACACGAGAGATGATAAGACGCACCAAACTCGCATAGAGCCCAGCTCGAATTAATCCCATATTGGCCATCATTTAGCGTCAGACGATGATATTATCGGAAAACCTGAGCAAGAATCCTAAGAACAAAAAAAATAAAGAAAAGGTGTCGAAGAGCATGGCTCCAATGCTCTTAATATAAGTATCGTGACATCACGGGCTGTGAGTTGAAGGTTTTCATTTTTCCGTATAACCGAATACTGCCATCGCCTGCTACATTTGCATTTGTGTTCTTCCTTAGTTTTCTCAGAAGCAATAGACTACTCGAGGCCGCTCGCGAAATAATGAAAGCTGTCGAAAAATGATACTTTTCCTTCGCAAATGTTGGATCAAGAATCAAGCGCCATAAATTCAGAGGGAACCCCCATAGGTGCCTTTTTGAAATAGCGGAAATTCTTGATGATTTCTGGATGAACCACGAAAATTCCCCACACTCAGAATCTCTCATTAATATTGTGCACATGTCTTAGCTCTACTAACTCTGACAGCAATCGGTAAGCGTCGGTACGCCCGTTAGTTATTGAACCTTCAGCTTTCTGTTTGGCGGTTCATCAAGACCACGCGTCGATGTAACTATCGCCACGATCAAGAGGACCAGCATCACCGTTAGTGTGATGCACCCAAGCCATGCGAAAGCTAAAATCACAGGAATGAGTTGACACCCTTGAACTTGCTTGCACCAACGTGATTCCATATCTCCTAAGATACACATTTAGAGTGCATATCATCAGCATCTTCATTAAACTTAGCAAGTGGGAAATCTTGACTTATCGACACTGCAGCAGCCCCTGAAATCCAGAAGAACCATATAACCACCAAACCGGTGATCGTCGTAGAAACTAGAGAATTAGGTTTTCTAAGAAGTATATACACAGCCCTACGTGTAAAAGACATATATAAGTCAAAGTTCCATCATACGCGTAAGGAAATGAACATACACTAACCACATACCACAACATAGTGACAAATGAGGTGAATAGCAGTTTTGCAGTGACTGCCAGATCTGACATTCCGAGCAGTCTCTAGTCGGCGTTACGCGTAAAAAAAAATTGGTGTGAAAGTACCATAAAGTTTTACTTTATAAAGTACAGCCGATCCTTCAGCAAAAATACTAATTGACAAGATGAGAAGAACGGCGAAGTGAGAAAAAAGACATCAAGGTCCAGTCCATACCACAGAAGAGGATAAGAAGCACCGAGGCACCATACAGCGCAACTCTAATTAACCTCAGAGTAGTCATTTGGCATTTCAGACAATGCCTTGAAATGAACGATGTAGAGAGAATATTGGAATGCCTTTGTGCAGGCGGACAGAGAGGGGGTGTCGTCAAAATCTGCTTATTTACAGTCATTCTATCGATCGCAAAATTCCGTACTGGTGGGTCGTTATGCATTAGGGCAAAGGACGAAGAACAGGGACAAGGGCTTTAACTTACTTACCCTCACTGTCTGACTTTTTTGGCATCACAACGGGGATATCACCAGAGTTGTAGCTTAGGTATGTCTGGAGACGGGATAATAGAGGCGGGCTCTCTCGACCAATATCTCGTTGCCGAGTCGTAAGTATTGTACAACTGCAGATTGAGTCTCACGGTGGGGTTTACATAACATGCATACCTTCGGCCGGCTCTCCAGGGTGCTCCCTTCGAAATCTCTGAGAGATACGAGGCCAGTACAAGCTTTGAATATTGGCTTTTGAACTATCATGCGAGAATGTCATTAAGAACAAGATAGATGGACCGGTGCATATAAAAGCCCCAGGGCCCATGAGACAGACAGTGTAAACGAATTAATCGTGAGCAATGTTAAACATACAAGCCTTCATGCTCATGCCATGCTAAGGGCATGGTGGGCTACGATATAATTACGTTACACTTCATAGATTTAATTTTTTCGCATTAGCCGACACATCTCAGTGCCATACCACCACTGAGATGTAAGTAATATCGCTACTATTCGCAATATCCAAAGTACTCATACGTCCTAGATACACTCACATTCGTTTACTCTAGGTAGTACAGTAGTGCCATACCACCACTGAGATATACACTCATATTCGTTTACTCTGGGCAATACTCTCCGGTTACTCTATCGTATTACTCAAATACCCCGCATCAATACGCAATCGCCCGCGTACCTCCTTGTGTAGTTGAGTTCGGGGATTGCTCAAGAAAAACTGAGAGACAATATTATCCCCACACTTTGTTTGAGAGACCATTCATCTGCTGGCTAACACTTGAGAGTAAATGGGTGTTCAAATGTCTTTCAAGTACCTCAGACTATTTGGTTAGTGGTGATTTAAGTACTCGTGCGTAAAGCGCCTCAATGAAAACCATGACATTGACAGAAACGTGATGCATGATTCTCGCCATTCGATTTTCGAAAGGTAGGTCCGGGGTAGGTCGAAGAATATTCGCAAGAAGGGCGTAAAAATCATGCCCTCTATCATGGTCATGCCCTTCATCATTACATCACGTTACCAACCTCCAATTCCTGACTGAGGGTCGTTTAACTTTCCGGTAGAAAAATTCTTCTCTATTTCTAATTATACATACTAGCGATAAATACGAACTGCTACAGTCTCGCGTGAATAGGTTGTACAGCATCGTTTTCGTACTTTTCAAGCGCTTTCATAAATCTATACCACCTTCCGTCATGCCACTGCATAATATCTTCCCACTCCTCGCTGGCTTCCCCAAACACAGTCCGGAAGGATCGCAACCAGCCTGCGACCGTAAAGTCTGCGAAACAAGGCATATTTCCTCCCATGATCAAGATGTCGCATTTTCGCATACTCTTATCCAGCATACCAAATCCCTCCTCAAACCTTCGCCATTCTATCTCTCTTCTCTCGGACCCCTTGGCCGGATATAACTCAGTGAGATCTTTTCCGAACATTTCCTTCCGAGTATGGCGAAAATATTCCTCGCTTCGGGGATTTAACACGCTTGCAATCGATGGGATGAGAAATTGGAGCATAGGCTCGATTCTGACCGGAAATATATCGTTGAAAGACGCGTGGAATGCATGTGTCCCGTTGGGAAAGAGGGGCGGGGAGGGATACGTCTCGTCGAGATATTGCGCGATACTGACAGAGTCTGAAACGACAGCATTTGTTGCGGCGTCATGGATGACTGGAAGCGTATATTTCGGGCTTCCGTCAGGTTTAGTTTCTGTGGGCGCAGCACCTAGCCGCTCCATCGTACGTTCAAGGTCAGGGAACTCGACCAAGACCGTTCGGTATGGAAGGCTTTTGTATGCCAGACTATATCTAGACAAGGCCGAATGTCACTACTGCGAACTCAAACAAGATCGAAAGGTGGTCTACCTTGTCTTCCACACATTCGGGTTCCAGGCAGAGTGCTCGGTTCGTTTGGCAGGAAAGTCATAGAGCGTGATAGACATGGTTCAAGCTTTTTTTTTTGCAATTGAGACGAGTTGGTGGTTTTGGTGGTTTTTCTCCTGTTTATACTTCTCAAGAAAAGGCTCACGAGTTAACCAAAATAGTAAGACTGAGCAACATGACTGGTTTATTCATCTGTAATCCTAGTGGTCTGGCATATCAGTCTTATTCTCATGAAGAATACACGGATATGATCTTGTTTTGGAAAAGAACCTCTGAAATAGCCGGCCAAAACAATGGGAAGAACAGACCTTGCATTCTTTCAATTCTCATCGAGGTAAATCGCCGTCTCCGGATTCGAATTCGAGTCTATATACTTCGGGTCATTACGCGGATGGGCCCAGTACATGTTGATTTGAAAGTCCAAAGTCTGACGGCGATTACTAGCGGATTTTACAGTTGTTGATTTTTAGTCTCTTGTCAGAAAAAAAATTGTCAATAAGGTTTGTGCGGATTAGTATGGATATGGAGAGCAGGCGGAATTGTTCATTTATGGTTCGGTACACAACCTGTAGTGTATGAGGGTTGAGAAATTCCGTAACAGAACGAGCCTAACCAGCTGTATAAACCACGCAAACCGTGACAAGAGGCGGTCAGTTCCCTGAGACTGTGTAAAAATAGCGTTCATTTTCCAACAGCATGGACTTGATAGTCATGGGAAGGATACTGACCGAGATAACAAAAGTCACTCTCAATCACATGGCGGGGTATAAGCCTGTATAAACCTGAGGCTGTATTACATTGAAGGTGCAGCTTATGGCCTAATGTGCCTTGTCTTTCGTCTACTTTCAGTAATCGCTAATACATCGCATCTGTTAATCTCCGGGAAAAAGGCCAAACTTTTGTTTTTCACCCGAAGTGCGTTGCTTTGTTGCAGGGCACAAAGAAAGCCTCCGAGCTGGAGACTAGGAGCAAACCGGGAGAAGAACTTCTTCGCCAGATTATCCTGGAAGCCATACTTATCTACAAATCAGAATACAATCCTGTTCTACAAGAAGAGGAAGCAATATTTGCTAGCGCTTGGCAGCAGCCATCAAAAAATCTGTACGCACGAGTAAATTATAGGCGGTGATCTAATGTCGACCCCAAGTTGCTGATGTATCGAAAGCCACAATACAAGTTGTCGAGATGTACATGTGAAGAACATCCATCTTGGATGCGTTGAAAATGACATCTCGAGTTGGAATATTTAGGAAAGTCGTCGTTAGGTATAAGCGTTTGCCGATAATTGCCAGTGTTTCGAGCCTTTCCATTTTGCGTATTCACTCTAGGAATGTTGATATCGCGATTCTGTCATCATCGTAGATATTGTTCGAACGAGAAATTAATCTGCGCCCTCGCGGAGAAGATGGGGTTAGTGTCCTGGGAACAGAGGCTTGGGCTATACAGATTCCAGAGGCTGGTACATAGTTGCAATGTATTGACCGTTCATCAACTAACAATGCCACGGAGGGATATACGCTCTTCGAGGATGCCAGCAACATGTTACTTAGGAGGACTTTGAGTTTTCCGTTGCAAAGAAACAATGTTTTGTTCATTCTTGGTATTTTACTAGTCCTGAAAAAAAGCCCAGTCAACACGTTTGTCATCAAGCTTTTCTCATAAGTTTTCGAACATGCTCATCTATGCTCATGCACCGTAGCCTTTTTGTTACTAGTATGAAACTTTGTTGAGTACGATGTTAAACAGCTCAGATTGACGTTTCTCTAGTCAGGAGAGGGGCAAGTGTCTCGTTATTTTACTTGTGTGCAATAATACTTATGCATTATAACTCAGTGCATCGCCTTCTTAGCTCAGAGGTAGAGCGTTGCACTTGTATATAACATACGATGCAAAGGTCAGTCGTTCAATCCGGCTAGGAGGCATTCGTGTTACAGTTGAATGGCCTTTTTTGTCCCCCTTCTTAGGATGCCATAACAAATTCATTCCCAAGACGACATCATGTTGCCCTATTCCTATTTCCTCAACATGATTAAGTTGCATTTTAGCCTGGAAAACAACCGGGGGAGAACGCTAGAAGCGATAATGCAACTAGAGAACGCCGAAGACATTGTTTAATTGTACCTTCTACAGATTTCTTTTGACTACAAATATTGTCGAGATGGCTGAAGTATGGAATTGATAAAATAACAACGGACCAGTCATCAATACTGTGGCTGAGCTTTTGTAGAATTCCTCTGAGAACTATTGGGAAGGTTGGACGAAGAATTATCTGGTTTTCTATATGTTTATCGTTCTAAATCACCTACTTGAAGCAACATCTGGCTGGAGCTGGACTTTGTTTTTCAAAGAAAATAAATTTGAGCAAAAAGCGTCTAGGTTTTTAGCAAAAGGAAGATGAAGTTTTCGTTTGGGAAGGGATGAAGAACAATATCTTTAACTTCAGGTATGGATATCTTCAAACCTTTCTCTCATGCAATTTCTCTGTCATTTCACTAGTTGTCTTTAGGGTCAGCCACACCATGCAAGCAGGTAAGAACTAGAAAAAGTCTTAAGATAATCCTCAAGTACCATACATCTTACAAATCTTCTTTCGCCCGCTCACAAAATCCATCCCAGAACCCTTGCGCAAGCACTGCAATGCCCCACGCTCCTGGATCCGGAGGGAGCTCCAATCCCTCTTTCGATTCCACGTATACCGCTCGTCCTAGTTTAGGCTTCATACCTTTTGTGCTCAGAGCTCCCTCATGTGCTCGACGACATGCCTCAGCTACTAAATTACCGTCTAGATAGTCTGTAGAAACACGCGGACTTCTTGATCCGACTTCGCCTTTCCCGATACTTGGTGATAAAACTGGTGTATTGCATAACGGATATAACGCGTCCATGATTGTCCGATCACCAGGTTTAGCGGGTGTGTGGTGGGCAAGGGAGGCTAAAGCGTCAGAGAGGGTGTCCAGGAAATGAATGGATGAGACAAAACTCGAGGATGGGTGAATCATTCGCTTTATAGCGGATGACCAAGCAGTGAAAAAGATGGCAAATACTGATGTAAACTGAGTAAATATTTTGGACCGAAAAATCGAATGTACTCACATGCTCCAATGGTGCCACCCATGTTATCTTCGAGAATTTCACCGATACGATGGACTAGCTGACCTGGAGATGATTTAGAAATCTCTAGTTGTTCCTTGTCAATAGCGGATAGGATTGCTAGAATAAGAGTATCAGAGAAAGTTCAGTATTACCAAACCTTCAAAAACCTTTTGCACCCCGCGAAAACGTCGTACCACAATCTCCATCGCCCACGATAGTGTCGTACTCTGTCAACAATGCCTCCTCTCTGAGAACAGCTTTACAAGCACTTATTATCCCTTCTTTCACTCTTACAGGCGAAACATCAGCCTGATGCCAATACGTCGTTTCCACAGATGGTTTTTCATCCTGTGCTTTGGAAATTCCGCCACTAAACGACATCAAATCCAGCACCTTTTCAGTAGCGCGATTATGTCCACTCGAATCTCTTCGGCCATCTGAAGGCCAAAAACAGCGTAGGCCGATCCAGGAATGAGCGTCAGTGGGGTCATCTAGTAGTCCGAGAATATCGATTGGTTGGTGTATAGCAGGAGAGCGTGGCGCCCGATGAACAGCGGACACATTGAGGAGGGAGATAGAAAAACCAGGTGCGTTCAGTGAAGTCATGAACGACGAACTGTATATCCGTAGCGGATGTATGTCGGATAGTGCTGAGTGTTTCTTAAGTACCATTTCAAAGGCATAACATACATAACGCACCAAGTCTAGCAAGGATGTCGGTCATTATCGCACCCATTTCTAATTGGGACATGCCTCCCAAATTATTCACGAACAAGACAGTGATATCGCCTTCCTGAACAAAGCTATCTCTACCCCCATCAACGACACCTCGTGAACGCAGGATCTTCCCTATCATTTCATCGATTAACTTCAATGAATCCCGCATCTCCATCCGACGTACTCCCGGTTCATTATGAAGACCCAGACCAACTTCACACTCGGCTTCACCCATAGTAGCGCCGGAAGAGTTGACATTACCGGGGATATGACAATGTTCCAACCCAACGCCAATACTTGCAAGTTGAGAAACGACAGTGTCTCCTGCTCGTTTGAGATTCTCTAGAGATGATCCACGTTCTGCAAGAGCACCCAAAATCTTGCAGACAAGGATATTACCGGCCAGTCCTCGTGGGCCAACAAGACCGGTGCTTTCAGAGTGGAGAAGTGAGACGTCGTCAGTTACGACAACGCTTTCAACTCGGATCCCTTCAGCTCGGGCTTTCTCGATTGCGAGCCCGAAATTGAGCCGATCTCCGGTATAATTGTTGGTGATAACGAGAACATCTTTCCTGTGGGGAATATGTATAGCGGATCTATCCGTGATTATATTTCTTCTCGGATGGGTATCTTCGCCGGCGTAAGCTGCTAGACGAATCATCGAGAGGATCTGGTTGGCGCTCGGACTAGCAAAGATTTCACCAGAGACAGAAGCTGCAAGCATGCCATAGCCTGTGTAAGATGCATGTGCTGGTTCATGGCCTGCTCCGCCGCCTGATACTACGGATACTTTGGCTTGCAAGGAATGAGGCGACACGTACACCGATTTCGAGGCTTGATGTCTAAGCAGAATGAATTGACTTTGAGGCAAAAAAGCTAAAGCGATACTCACAGGCGAAGCGAAGGATTCAAAGCAATAGCTCCTTGAAGAGATTTAACCACCAATCCATCTGAAGAGTTGTATACGTGCTTCAGAGACATGGTGGTAGTTCTGATATTTTACTTTTAACATCACTAATAGAATATTCGCCATATAATTCGCTCATCGGTGGTCGAGGTTCCAGAACTTTGAAGTCAGCTGTTTTTTTTTCTGGTCAGCTGAGAGTAGATAAGAGACTAAAGTCAAAAGTGAAATTGTGCAAAATATATGCTGCGCTCGTTGCGATGGGTTGTAGTTGGCACATTGGAATAGAAATCTGAGTGTACTAGATGATGGACTTTGGGAGACGCCCGTATATCACGCGTTTCTTAACTGTCGCCAGGGGTCAGTACGTACTGTTGAACGATCGGACTTTGAAAGAAATTTTTTGTCTTTGCCATCATTGCTCTTCAATTGTGTAGAGCTGGTCCTATTCATCCTAGAACTTCTTGTAAAAATAACTCCTTTGGCCCGTCTGCAAGATTTAGTCTGAAATATACCTAAACATCTTTTGGTATCAGGTGGTAGTTTCCTCAGATTGGTAAAACTTTTGAGTCCTGTTCCAAATATTGGTCTCAAGCTTCCTCGTTGCTTGAAGAGCCGTGCAATTGCTCTGGATCACCAGGACTGCTGTCGAGTTGGCTTGTTTCGCTTCAAAAACGGTGTTGAAGATTTAAATTATTCAACAATACTTGATGTCTTCACCTATCACTGGGTGCAAAAGTGAATAAATTACACTACTTATAGATAACTTTTAGTGAAACCTATTGAAAACTTACAGGGATTCATACAGAAATTTACACTATGTTACCAATTTCTACATAAGTTTTGTGTAAATCTCTGGTAAGTTTACCGGAAGGGATGAAACTTATGTACTTTTGCTTTCAGTGTATATGCTGCTATTTCCTCTCACACACTCAAATGGAAGACTATGTTCAAGGCAGTTGTTATGATTGTGCAGGTAGGGATTGTCAAGAATGGGTTGTGAAGGTAATTGCGGGAGAATGTCTACACAAAGGGAAAACAATCCAAAGGGTAGTTGGACCTTGACTCCACTATTTATAGAGTCCTCAACATGTTGTTGTCAGTGACTCACTAGCTCTCTCAAAGGATAACCAGGCATCACACAATAGTCAATGAGCAAGAGGGCAAAAAGATAATGAGACTGGAATGAAACCCAATACTAGTCTAGCTACCAAGGAGAATAGATGAGTGTTATGGGTATGCCTCCAGACCTCTGTACAGAACATATGGTACTGACCTTTCTACTTCACTCTTTTCCATGTCTTACCAGTTTGGGACTGGACTGTACAATGCATCTGAAGTTACCAGATGCAATCACTGCTACTATCTCGCGCTATTATCTTTCAATTATATTATTGAGAACTCTTTACAATACTTATTGTTCTTGTTTTTACAATTAGGAATACTGGTATATAAGCCTTAGTGTCTAGTAGATAGTCTTCCAGTTTAAATATCAACTTAGATCAATCCTGATCTACTTAGATCATCACTAGAACTCCATCTGGGACTCTTCAGTATTATTTCTCAGTTGTCCAGACTTATCCAGTCAACTTCCAGACATCCTTACTCTACAAACATAAATGGAACCATACAACATAGTGGGGGCACTACCGATAGTGGTGCTAAGGTTCTCGTTCAACTTCATTAAATATTCTTACCTACTGATCAATTGTTAACCATACAATACCATACAAGCTCAGATCCATCTATACACTCCAACTTTTATCCTACTCATTTCAGACCTTATGGAACCTTACTGGGACAGTCTTAACAATGAGAATAGAGCTAAGGAATATAACTACAAAGTATTCTATCTTATATACATATTGTAAATGAAACTATGGGAGCTCCCTCACACTGTAACAGTGAGGATATATAATATGAGTCACTTATATCCATAAGTAAAGCTGTAGGTATACAATGAGTAGACAATAAGGCAATTTAAAAGAAATGTGGATGCAAGACAATAATGACAACAATCTGTCAATGAACTGACAGACATGAGAGAGTCACACCTAGATGAAACAATAATGTGAGAATAATAAGGTTGTCACATGTAACCTAGAATGGAAATGAAAATATAATGTGTGGTGACAAAGGGGGAAAGCACGGAGGAAGCACAGGCTCAAAGCACAAACCAAAGTGAGGGGTGGGGCTAGCACCACACAC